CTGCATCCCCTCCTTGACACCACTGAGGATTTTCAGGGTCCAGGAGCCTCCTAGCCAAAGCCGTTCTGATCATTCTAATTGCTTTGGTGGGGTTGGTACAGGAGCAGGGGAGGAGGAAAAGGGAAACCAGATGGAAAGCAATGCTACTGGAAAGTGTTAGCTCTTAGGGCCAGAGGTGCAAAAAACTCAGAACAAGCTGTTCCCTCAAAACAACATTCTAAATGATTGCAGTAAGGTTCAAGTGTGCTTTTGTGGCTGGTAGGCGGTTTCCTTATGAAAGTGTGCTGAGTGAGATCTAAGAACCAGTTTACAACTGGATTTTGAGAACGTAATCTACTTACAGTTGTGGATGACCAGTGTTATAATTATTTAATTAGTACAAAAAATAACTGCCTTCTCTATCAGACTTGTTTTCACTTGGCATGATCATGATTACTTTGCAAACAAATTTTTAAATGAAGATATTATTAAAGGTTCACAAGTATTTTCATTTTCTATATTGTATGAATATCTCATCCCAATTTTTCCCTTCCTGTCTTTATCCCTGTAGCTTTGTACATACACCCCTACTAAGGGGAGATGCAATTGGGAAATCCATATCTAAATATTTTTAGGATTTCACCTAGAAAACATTTGTTGTTTATGAAAACTTCATCGAAAGACAGCCAGAAGAAAACTCATTTTCTTTCAGTTCTCTTCCTTTTTGATTTTATTCTTCTAGTTCATGTTTATTTTGGGGTGCTTATTTATAATGCTAAAAGTGTCCATTTTATATAGAAGTTATCCAAGGTCTCCCTGCATGGATTTTACGGTTTAGCACCTGATCAGCATGTGGTATACCACTTCTAAAGCATAACCCAAATACAAAATATTTTTTAAAAATTGAAAGTGCAAATGAGTGAAGTCACGAATTTTAGTTGTGTACCTTCAGGTATATCCATTAATGAAAAAGAATGAATAGATGAGTGAATGAATAAACTAGAGCTATGCCTAAAGGAATAGTGAAATGGCTAGATGCTGAATCCTTTCCATCAACCGGAACTTCTTCATGACCAGCTCTTCTGGGCATAAAAGATTCATGAGTATCTCTTGGCTCCCTTCTATTATTTCCTGGTGTGCTGCTCCCAAGAATGTCCTGGCTGCCATTTTCACCTGGGGAGTCGCCAGGAGAAAGACCAGCTGCTCATATTTAGAGTTTTGTAGTTATGACTCCCATATCCAATTCTGGCTCTTTCCCCCTATTTTCTCATACTTGGGGGGCGGGGTCAAGAATATATGCCCTGCTCCATTCTTCCATTAGACACTACCCGAGGCTCATGCCCTATTTTAGTACCATCTGCTTGGGGACACAGAGAATAATAATAAGAGCCCCTACTCATTGAGAAAATGCTGTGAGCTAAGTATTTACATGTCTAATTTCAAATTCTCATGCTATCCTGCAAGGACAGTATTAGACCCATTTTTATAGATCTACAAAGTAAAGCTCAGAAAAGTTAAGAAATCTCTCCAAGGTTATCTGATACAGGATTTATATTTGGCCCTTTCTTCTTTGCCGTCAGTGGAAGATACTTCTCTTCCCTTGGAAAAAATATGTTAGCATTTTCTTTGATTGACTCTCCACTTTCCATTAACAACCCTCCCCGGAGAGCTGCTCTCCCACTCTCATCCCATGCTGGTGTCCTGAATTTCCCACAGTGATTTGGCCCTTACATTGAATTTTCTGGCCTCTTGTCTGTTAGACTCAACTGATATCTTAAAATATCTGATTAGTCCTTAATAATGTTGGCAGGTTAAAATCATATTTTAAAAAGGAAAGTATATTTAAGCACTTAACTTTCACAATTCACTCATTGAGAGTACATATTTTTTCCCATGTTACCCAGAGAAACTGGACAATGAAATGACCACCTGTTAGCTGCTAATGATGCTCACATGCCTTTAAAAAAAGTAATTCTGGCTTTATCTGTCTACAATCTTGGCGACAAAACTCATGGGAACATCAAGGGCACAGGAAGCCAAAGGCAGCAAACTGACAATAAAGTTTGTGCTTAGACTACTAATAAGAAAGGAGATACTGTGAATCTCTAATTCCACATAATTATTTAATCTCAAGAGGGTAACATAAAACTGAATGCATGTTTTAAGAATCTAAGTTTGGGTGTTCAAATCTAGGACTGAGATCAGAGGGGGTTTCACACAGTATATTTCCTACTTGAAAAATATTTTATAAAGCATCAAATATAAAATATGCCAATCATTATTTCAAATGCATAATCTAATTTGACATTCTGTGGGTGTGTCTATCATTATGCCTTTCAAATGAAAATCAATACATAAATAATGAAAGAACTTAATTTTAAGTAATATATATTAACTATATCCTACATTGCAAAAAAAAAAAATACTAAGACTTAAAAAGGGCTTACAACTGTAAATATCCATCGAAATATAGAAATGAAGCATTTTCTAAAATTAGGGCTAATATCAGACTACGGGCGCCTGGGTGGCTCAGTCCTTAAGCGTCTGCCTTCGGCTCGGGTCATGGTCCCAGGGTCCTGGGATCTAGCCCCGCATTGGGCTCCCTGCTTGGCGGGAAGCCTGCTTCTCCCTCTCCCACTCCCCCTGCTTGTGTTCCCCCTCTCGCTGTGTCTCTCTCTGTCAAATAAATAAATAAAATCTTAAAAAATATATATATCATAGACTAAATGACCCCTTTATTTTAATAGTGAAATCAAACTCCAGAGACTTTTGGTTTTAGTTCTTTTGCTAATATGTTTTTGGGTCCCTATTTAAGTTTACTGATTTCTATGCATCTCATTTTTAATGTAATATTTCCATCCAAGTCCAAGGTTGATATAAACTAAGTTTACCTTTTATTTGTTCACTTCACTGTAGTGTAATGGTTAAAAGCATAGGCTCTTATCTCAAATTGCATGGATTTGAAACTTGTCTCCATAACCTGTCTTTGTACAAATGGCCTTAATTCTCCATGCCTCAGTTTTCTCATCAATAAAATAGGTTTAGTAGTAGTACCTGCTTCGTTGGGTTAGTGGGAGGATTAGGTAAGTCAACATAAATGAAAACTTAGAACAATGCCTCGTGAAAAGTAAGTGCTCAATGGTGGCTAGCTGTTATTATTTTTAAACTGCAAAGGAAAAAGTGACTATGAGATCCCTAGAGAATTAGGTACATTTTAAAATGAGTAGATAAATCATATGCCTCTTCCCTTGTCTCTAGACAGGATTGAATTTAAGACCCCAATAACAAATAATTGTCTTTCCCAATCAAAAATAAATTCTAAAGAGGAGTACCTGGTATTCTATCTGTAGGAAGATTTTTTCCCCAGTATCGTCCTAAAACATTTCAAGTGACTATCGCTGAACACAGAATCCATTTGCTTCAGTGTTTCTCAAACACTTTTACAAATCTTGATTTTCTCCCAACCTTCAGGCTCTAGAAGCATGTCAAGGTATCCTCCAAACCTCTACTAATCAATCCTTCATATATCCTATTATATATACCCTAAAAAATGGTCATATAATTAACATTAACATACTCACATAACATTAACATACTCACAATTGAATTCTAATTCTAAAATTTTACCTTAAATTTGATCCTATATTAAGTAAAGGGGAACAATGACCAGGAATTAAAGGGAAACATTCAAATGAGATAAATCCAAGCTGTACCACCTTATGGAACAATCGTTTTAAATGGCATTGCTAACTCTGTGCAAATAACTTGATTTGCAAAGCACCATACAGATTGACATTAACGTTGATCATTTTAAACACCAACTTAACACAACTGGCTAGCTAAATATGTTTCTAGCAGTTGTTGAAATTATGGTATGAGTTCTTGAATAATGACTTAATTTTGAAAGGGTGCTTCTACTCAAAGTTGTCATGCTATTTCTAGATTTTTAAGATCCCAATAATTTAGCTCTGGAAGATAGGTTATATATAAATAGCCTCTCTCTTCCTTGTTATATGCATGCGAGAATGCATCTATGTTTATAGATATACATATATATGTGTGTGTATATATATATATATAGTCTTCCCTAATGGACACAAATTTATGCATATACACATATAGTCATTTAACACATGTACTCATGTACACGTGTAAATATTCGGTTAGAAGCCCTTCTCTACTTATGGAGTTCTCTTTAACTCAAAAAGCTAGAATGTAACTATACTGATCTTAGATCAGAGGGAGAGGACATAAAAAATAGTGATTGAGGGTAGGCGATCCGGGAATGGTACTATAATTTTTGAGACTTTGGGAAATTGGTTTGCTTTGATTTCAGAGACACCTGCTTTGATTTCGGAGATACCTTTCAGGAGGCCGAAATCCAAACCACCTGTGAGATATGTGTGACACCTTTTCATAATCTCCTTTTGTTGAGGAGGAAAGAGTGGGGCAAGGTTGAGAGTTATACTCAAGAGCACTGTATGGTGAGACTGGTCCTTTTTACTCTAAATTCCTTCCTTTCAGAATATTAGAATTTGATGTGACCCTGGAGAACATATAATTCATAACCCACATTTCTAAATCTTTCTAGTGGTCTGAAAGTGTGGAAAGTTGCATAGCCTGTTGGTTTAAGTTGGGCCAACTGTGGTGGTCACTCATACATCTTTTAATGTATAGAAATCAAATAGTCAGCATACCAAGGTTTGGAGACGCTTGACATTTCCCACTTTCAAAATCAATCACCAATCTGAACGCCATGGCTATTACTCAGAGATTCAGAGATTTGCTCTAAGCAGAGACCATGACCTTGGAACAATTATTTTCTCAAAAGGCATTACCAACAATGATGAGAGCAAAGCTCCCAGACTGCCCTCCAGTGTATGAATCCCTGGCCAGGAAATGGCTACGAATCTTCCATGAGTAGTATGAGTTTGGCTCAAATCTTATTTTGATGCATTTATATTTCATAAGCATTGCATTTAGACAAAGTTAAAATCAGCAAGTAAAAAAAAAGTTCTTACTTAAAGATTTTCTGTGCTCTGGTTTCTGTTCTTTTATATCATTATCGTAGTGACTTAGTAATTCAGTACTGGAGGATCTCTGGATTTTGAATAATTCCAGGTTTCTTGATGAACCCCTTGGATCCTTTGGCTGGAAATAACAAACAATTAGACTGAATAATTTTCCAAGGAAGAAAGGATTCACCAAATAGTTTAGTGATCTATTTTGATGTTAATTTTAAAGGGAAGACTGAACTAAGATAATTATTTAAGGACAGGGCCTCTATGCTAAGCTCAAATTTAATAATAGCTATATATATATGTATATATGTATGTATACATATATACATATATATATAACTTACTAAATGCTCTGCATTACCCCAAGCACTCCACATGTATTAACTCAATTAATCATCACAGTAATCCTATGAGGTAGATATCATTATTACCCCTACTTTCCAGACAAGGAAACTGAAGCCAAAAGAGATAAGTAATTTGTTTAAGGCCACACAGCTAGCAAAGGATGGAACCAGGATTCAAACTGAGGCAGTTTGGCTCCAGAGTCCACTCTAAATGACAACAACAAACTGTGTGTGTGGGTGGGTGGATGTGGGTGTGAGCACTCAAGCATGCCTGGATAAGGGAACTATATGGTTGATGGAGAAAAGTCAATTTGTTATTTTTTAAAGTTTTAGTCCCAAAATGATATAAAGGAAGACTGCAATTAAGTAGCAATAAAATCACACCGAAAATGCAGTATTTTCCCATTATATACCTTATTAAAAGCTCTCAAGAATAGTTTTTCCTCAAGATTTTGCAAATATTAGTGTCCAAAAATTAGATGTTTGGTCTAGAATCAGTATATAATGGTAATTTTAAGTAATTTGATTCTTATAAATATACTTTGAATGTATGATTTAGGGTAATTTCATGAAGTTTTAGACTCATAATTTTCATGAGAAGAACAATCTAGTTTCACTGGAAGAACAATGAAAATCAGTATAAAGGATTATTATTTACTGGTATTATAACAGTGAGTATGGGCTTAAATACATTGATATTTATTTTCGAGAATATGTATTACAGACAACATAAACTGAAAATGTGAAAACTCAGTAGTCATTAAGTGCTTGTGTGCTTTTTACAGCTTCTAGTAAATGAATGTCCATGTTATTTCAGGGGGAAAAAATGAATGCACTTGTTTTTCATTTGAAAGAGAGAAATCAAATGACATTTAGCTCTACGAATCACGTCTGTTGAAATGGTTTTTTGTGGACTTTATTTAAACTTAAAATAACTTAATATCTCTCCATCTATAGGATCCAGTTAAATGTGTGTGTGTTATATGCCTAAGCAACAATTTAAGTGACAACATTTTAATTAATAAAGGTAACAGCCAAAACAAATACATACCAATCTGTCAATTGCATTTTTGATAGCGTGGAACCAATCCAATATGATGAAGTCAATATCTGACTGTAGAAGGAACTCATTTCCTGATACTGTTGTGATCTGAAAAAAAATCGACAGGTAAGCAAACCACATAAAATTGATCTCTTACATTAAAAAAATGGAGATAGATATATATATCTCCAAGATATATATATATGTTGTTTAAAAAACACACTTCAATACACCAAAATATTTTCTTATATTCCAGTAATTGTCTTTCTGGGAACTGGGAGACCAGGATCATTTTGAACTGCTCTCTATAAACTGTTTTTTCATGTCATAACAAATACATTATTGTTTTAATAATAGAACGATTAACTCAGAGTAGGACTAAAGTTGAATTACTCCAACTCAAGGAGAAGCAAGTCAGGAAGTTCAGAATGATGCAGACAGTACCCACTTAAGTCAGAATCTAAGAAAAATGCACCCGGGTGTGTCAGAATTCATTCTGCACTTTTGGCTCTTTCCTGTTTGTCTTTTTCAAATCTAATAGTATCTCTATATTTGATTTCCTTTTATGGAGGGCTGTAAAACAGATTATTTACCAAAGAGACGAATGCAGACTTTTCCAAAAGGTCATTCAAATGAATAACATTTGGCTATTTCTACTTTCCTATCATAAAGGTCTATAGGAAAGTAATAAAGGACTAATTTCCCCTGCAAAAGGAGTGTATTAGAATAAAAGTTTATTTACATATTTGAACCTCTCACGGAGAGTATTTATCAAGTGAACATCCCCGTTCCAGACTCTCAGAGCTATTAAGTAGTTGGCAATATTTAACATGTAACTATACGTTTTTCATTACAGCGAATCTTTTCCTCTCCAGCATCGTGAGAGAAGAATGTGACCCTATAGACACAGAGCAGTGTTCTTTATTTCACACATAAAAGGCTACTTAGAGATGAATTTGATTAGAGTGGGTGTGGACACGCTTTCTGTATTAGGCCATCAATCAGAACTGTGAAGATTTTCCCTTTGTATTGACTTTTTGTTTCAACAGGAAGATGAACATTTCCCGGCTCCTGTCACACATCAAGCAAGGCTTCAGAGTTTTAGAGGACTGACATTTCAAAATACTCAATCAGGAGCTAGTCACCTCTTCCCAGCCTTCCTTGCTCTAAATCGGAGGTGAACACTGACATGTGCCCACAGGTTCAGAAAATCACAAATCATGCTTTAGGATGTCTCTATAATTCTATCATTAAAGTGACAATTATTACCCAAAATAGCTCACTCTGAAGGTTTCAATGATTCTTACGGCAATATTTAATGACAATGATCCTGGAGTTTTAAAGAAATCTTCAATTACACGCATACATATATATTCTCTCATCATTTATTTTTAGAAAAAACGATTCAGAGATGCAACATCACACTCAGGGCTGCAACACAACCATACTTGAGTGAGACGCGTTCCGACGTTTTACAACTGTAAGGAGAGGAACTCTCCAAGTATATGCAATTATGAGAAGTGAAAGATTAGAAAATAAGAGGAATTTAATTATCCACATTAGAATTTGACAGACTACAGGGGCCAATTGCTCTTTTTTTTTTTTTTTTTAAGTAAAATTGCATGTACGATTTGGGATGGCTCAAAATAGCCTCCAAATAGTCCTCTGTTTTATGTATCTCTTAAAAGACAGTTAAGCTGATGTTTGCCTAATTATCTGAACACCCTAGCAATGTTCTTTACTTACATAAAGTTCCAAATATTTACTTTATAAAGTGTTGCCACAGAAATAGCGATCTAGAAATATAAGGTCTCTTGTAACTAACCTAAGAAAACTGGTAATGCCCTTGACCTCTACCTTCCTTCTAATCTAAATTTAAATATTTTGATTATGAATGTATTAAATGACATCACAATTTGTCAACACACACAAATAAATATGAATTAGCCCAAACACAATGTACAATCTATTTCTCCACCATTATAAATAAACCATTATTAAAATTATAAAAAGAAGAATTTCAAAGTACAAGAAGCAAACATAATTAGATTTACTATATTCTGAGGGTTTAGGAAAGAGCTCACAGTTCAGTTTTCAGTCCAGTAAATTCAAACAGTGATAAAATGTAAGTACCTCAGCAGTACATTTGCATTTTTGGTGCATGCTATGCAGTGAAAGGGAATCTTTTACTGCCAACACAACCAAAAACAAAATGTATTTTAAAAGTTTCTTTATCCAAATATATGACTGCATTAATTGTACATAAGCAGTGATTTATGAATTCATTTGAGGACGCTGGATCAGAGAACTATATGAATGCAATTCATTCAAAATATACTATCAGAAAGATACAGTTCACATTCTTTCCTCTGTCTTCCCACTAATCTTTCCAGTTACTAGGCAGTCTGGAGAAGTCTGCTACTGCTCTCTACAGTTTAAATGCATCCACTTCTTAATTACAGTCAGTAATTGACTTTGTTCTGCTCTATCCCAGACATTCACAGGAAAGCAGTTTCAAAGTCTTTGCTCAAGTCCATTTAATTCAGCTTCCTAGCCACATTTTACATTACCTCCTTAAGGTTTTCTGATAAATGGTTTGCTGAATCATATTTGCAGTTTGAACAATCAAATTTTCAACACTCTTGGGGAAAAAAGACATCAGTAAAGACTGTTAGCTTTGACTAAACCTTTTGATTGAACAATTCCTGATGCCAATCTAAAGTGATGTAAAACTAATAACAGGCATAAAAGATTTGATATTAAGCCATGCTAATGTATTCTTTCTATATCATGTTTTGCTTCCGTGACAGATGCTGGCACAAGGTGAATGAAGAAAAAACTTACAGCAAGCACAACAGGTTTAGGCAAGAGTGGCTGGTCTCCATTTTGTTCGAAGCCTACTTTAGACAAACATCTCTTGAAATCCTTCCTTGCCACCAACTCCTATTTTGAGCAATCTTAGTGAAATGTGCTAGTGTTGTCAATAATAGATATCTTTAATTGCCTGTCTGGGGAAATTTGCCTCAAACTTTTCACACTCAATAAGAATCTGTTTGAATTCTTGCTGGTGACACATGGATGTCTAGGAAATCATATGAATGTATCCACTGGGCAACATGAAGAATAGACACGTTCTTTAAGGCTTTTGGGTACTATTTCAACAATAGTTTTCCTCTGGGCTAGGAACCTAGGTCTGTGTCCTTCTTGTGGTTCCTCTGAAGATGGAAGCATGTTATCTCCCAGTTCCAAACTCCACCAGTAAGTGAGAAGGAGAGAAGAAATTTGTTGTTCAGGCTTTAATTAACACATGGAATATTATTATGCTAATTTAAACATCTTTGAGGAGTTTTAATGAGTAATGTTTATGTTTATTTAAGTATTGCCCTTTTCAGTATCGTCAATTAAGTATCACCCTTGTCAATATACAGTCTGGCATTTAGTCTTTCCTGTGTTCGATTTTAATTTAAATGAAAAGTAATGTGTAGAATGGCATTAAACTATTAAAAATTTCTGTAATTTGGCTTACCAGAATAGAAACAAAAACTTTTTAGAATTTCACATTTTTTCCTAATTATAAGAATAATTATATTTATTATGAAGAATTTGGAAAAAATAAAGATAGCAAAAAAGCAAATTCCAACTATTCATGACTCCACAGAGTAAACAGTATGGACATATTAATTTAGTTATTGCCAATCTTTTACAAATAATAATCAAATGTATATGACAATGATTCATACAAAACTTTACACTATGGATAGATACCTTATCAATAAAACATATTTGATGGCTAAATATTAATGGCTATTTCCATTACACTTGATCTCAAATGCATGTTGAGACTATCAAAGGTGCAAGAGATAATGAGTGATATGTGTTCCCCTCTTTGATAGTAGCACCTTTCCTATCACAGAATAATTCCACAAATAATTCTTTGTTCAGGAGACTGAGAGGGGTGTCTCTGACCAAATATCCCCCTAGTCATCAAGGACTGATTAAGCATCCATTAAGTGCAAGGCACATCACTAGAAGCTAGGGGTACACCCGCCCCAAGCCTCAAGAGCTCACAATCTGTTTGCATAAATAGGACATATGCATATAAAGATAAATAACAATAGAAAATAGCTTATATCAAGTCCCAATGTGAGTGGCACAGACAATGCTCATGTCAAGATTTCAGAGGAGGGAGTAATTACTGCAGACACATTCACATCATGGAATTATGCATAAACTGTTGGTCATGATACGTTATTTTTTAAAGGTTGATTGTATCAGAACTTTAGTATATTAAGGATATGAATACTACCACTTGGTATGCAAAGTGATATCAGCTTTAATGATCTCAAAGCACATAATAAACATTCTTTAAATGCAGCTTCCCTCCACTATCATAATTTTGCAAATGAAGAAAATGAAGCAAATGAGGAAAATGAGAATGTCATTCTATCAAATTGGCATCATTTAAAATGATAGAATTAAGAGATTACAAAGATCTTGATTTCTAGTTCACTAGTCCTCAGCAAAAATCTTATACAGTCAAGGACTCTATGCATATGGGAAAAAGACTATGGTGATTTGGTTTCAGTTGTGAAATCTGGAATGCAGATCTTAGAAAAAAGTCCCTGTTTCTTTACTGTTATGTTAAAGATATCCCAATTTTATAAGATCACCCAGTATCCTTATTCAGATGTTTTCATCTTTTATTTCCCCCTGAAAAACAACTATTCTCCTACTATGAAAAAATATATCTAAAACAGGATTGGGGCATCCAAAAACATTCCTTCAAATCCTGGAAAGGACTAAAACAATCCTACATTTGAACTAGGTATCATTCATATTTTGCTTATGATCAGTCTTTGAATATGAACCAAAGAAGAATTTATTCCATCTTAATGAAGCTGAGACTATATGTAGGAAATGTGTAATAAATATGCTAAATATTCAAACAGTCCTAAAAAATGTTAAATGATATGGCTACAAGGATTCTTACAAATAAGTGGATTACCCATTTAGGAAGATGGATTTTAATTACTATTGTATTTGGAGACACTTTTGACTTCATGATGAAGTCATTATATTTGAATTAAATTAAGTAGTATAAAAATTTA